ATAAGTATACTTCAAATATTGTCGTTGTATTTGAATTATCTAAATTTCTTCGAATTGCCTATTTCATTCGTTCTTGTGCATTGAATACTCTTAACGTTATAAATGTTATAAAACATTTAGCATTTATTACGTTTTAGTACCATATTAAGTTTTTCTTTTCTTTTTAACAACAATAAGTATGTTGCTGTCAACAGAAAATCTTATGCTAGGCATACAAAGAAGGAAAAAATAAATTAGTCTTATAATGAAAGTGTTGTTTCGGTAAGAACTCACAACTAAAGTTTTATTGACTCAGGTAGTGACCTATAACATATAGGTCTGTAGGCAGTATTGCAAGCTTACCATTAAAAAGTTGTCAGTCTTTGAAAATTTAATCACTGAACATAGTCTTAAGATCGTGTTCATAAAGTGCTATAACTAACATTATTCCAAGGCCACATGATAGCCCTAGCCCTTGTAGAATACATTGCCACTGAGAACTACGTTCCGCAGAATGACTTGAAGATAATTCTGGAATCTAAATTACACGTACATATTTATTACATCATTAATAGTAATTAGAATTTAATTAAAAAGAATGGTTCAACTAGATGAGATCATCTTCTTAAGTTATTAATACTGTCTTTATCAAGACATCATTACTTATCATTATGAAATGTGTTAATAATACAATCTTCTTTTTAGACTGCCATTGTAAGAAAAATATTCAATAAATAGAAACTAGATATTACTTACCATGTCAACTAATGCTATATAAATAAACATTCCTGCAGCAGCTGCAAACATCCAGCTACTCACAGCCGGAGTGCTACCCAACAGTACGCCAAATACCATTCCAAATAAGCAAAGTACGGAAGATAACAGATTATAAAAGACAGCTTGTTTAGCGCTCATTCCGGCTTTCAATAAAACCGCGAAGTCTCCTATTTAGGCAAATAAATTAAAATCAAATCTTTGATCATCTTTAGCACAAGTTACTAAAATTAAAATTTAAGTTTAGTACCTATTTCATGAGGTAATTCATGGCAAAACACAGCTATAGCCGTTGAGAAACCGCCAGCTATGTTCGCTGAAAAAGCAGCACCTATGGCCATACCATCTGTGAAGTTATGTAAACCATCGCCCATAACTACCATCCAAGCAACACTTGATAAAGATTCTGGTGCAGAATGTACATGGCCTAATAAAAACATTTAACCATTTAATTGAGCTACTTAACATATATGTAAGTAATGAAGTTAGATTAATCAATTAAATCATACCGTGGGAATGGGTGTGACCATGGTGCTTCGTTTCGTGCTCACGTATAATAACAGTATAACTTTCAGATTTATTTAGTGGTATATCAGCACCATCCGTGTTTTTCTTAGTATTTACAATTGAATCATCTAATCTCCACTCTTCGTTTGATTTCTTTTCTCCGTCGTTCGTCATTATTTTAGAAACTGAATTGCAATTTGATGTTAATGGTTTCTCCTCATCGATAACAGGAGGTTTCTCATGGTTATTGTGTTGACGATTATGATGATTATCTGAACAGTAAATAGATTAAGCATCCCACTTAATAGTGCTTAAAAGATGTAGTAAAAGATGTGAACATTACCAACGATAACGTATTCGAGTTTGTAAAAAGTGGATACAATATTCTACCTTGGGCATCAGTGTTAATCTCTCCATAACAATAAGGGTACGATGAATATTTGTGTTTGCAAAGCTTCTCGCCAACAACGTTGCTGTTTGGTCCGTCCGTCTCACGCATTACCCGAACACGCGAAGGGAGCTAAAACGAATTCTATATTTATATTTTCTGTCTTTGCAATTTTTATTTATATTACATTTTATTTATACCTTATTACGGCGTTGCCGAAGCTTTCTCCATTCTGCAACCAATGTCAAAGCTTTCTCCGTAAAAAAAAATAATACAAGACCCGCCATTGCCACTACCCCTTTCCACATATTTATATTGTGTTGTTCTTTATGATCTATCTCAGCATGATCATTATCATCATGACCATGGTGATCGTGTGTGTGATGCGGCATCATCGCCTAAAGCAAACAATACAATTACTAGTTTACAATGATCGTTAAAGACTATTCCTCACCAGAAGACTTACATGGGGTAACAAATGAATAAGAGCATCGCCGCATAATGTTCCTACAGCAAGAGCAACTAGGAACTGCAATAATTGGTGATAGTAAATTTTACCCATGAAAGGTATAACAGCTACACCAAATAAACCGCAGAGACTAATTATTAGAATACTGATTATAGAATAGGCCCATACTGAAATAGAAAAAAAAACTGTATTTAGCACTTCACGATGATTTCAGCGTTTAAGGCTTGTGTGCATTATATTTTTTACCTTGAACCATATTACGCGATACATCCTCTCCAAGGTATTTAGTAACTATTACTGGTTTATAATTCTCTGGTACAAGAATGCATCCATTTCTTTCTGAACTCGATTCACCTGCTAATTGGTAAACAAGAGCTGGACACACACGTTCAAAAAGCCAACTTGGTAATGTTGTATTATTATTAGTGATGGAATTGTAGGGCATATCTCTTGCAACAGTACTTAATAATTCTTTGCTATTTAAGCACTGAAATTTGGGGACAATTATGTGTGAGAAATCTTTGATGTATTAGGAAAAGAAGTGTGTTCCATTCTTCTATAATAAAATGAATTTTGGTAATCAAAATTTATCTTACCCGTTCTTTTCTGATTCCGTTTTCATACTCTGATAGGCCACTATTTTGCACGCTCTTTGATTTTTCTACAACAAAAAGTTTTCTTTTTACAGACCACTGTGTATATGATAATAGAACAGTAACAAACATTACTTATCTTGTAGAAGATAAGATTACATAAGGACTATTTAATTATATCTTATATAAACATAAGTAGCATTGTATTTTATTTATAGATATTATCAGAACTGTAAAACTAATGGACTTTTTTATTACAGTAGCGCCCACTTTAACGTCCGCACTTTTGTTTACTTTAGCGTGTATTTTTTTCTCACAGTAAATTACTGTGAACAGGTTTTAATAAAGAACCAAAGTAGTCCAATGAAATCAATAAGTAACTTAATAGGACCATTGAACAGAAGTTTGGACCCTCAAATTAAGCTAAATTATTATTATTAAAATGACTCTTATATATGTAGAATCAATTCAGAAGGTATGATTAAAGCAGATGTATGTAGATACATTAGGGGAGATTTATTATGATTGATGGGCTGTTAATTGATAATTAAAAGTAATATATTGATATTTTCTATGTGTCATACACTAAAATATGTTTTGTCTTTCATATATACAGTTATCAAAATGATGAAAGTAAACTTACCTAATGGATGATGACTAGCAATAGCATTAAGATCCTCTAATTTAGATACATCTGTTAATAATCTCAGTAATCCTAATTTTTTCAATAACTTCTCAAAACCTTCTATAGTCACACTAGTACCATCTCCATAAGTCTCAAAAATTTTTTTCATGAAATACTTCTCATCTATGACATCTACATTTCTTTTTTTTCTAATCATAGTGACCGAATTGGGATTTTTTGTAGACCTTGTAGACTTCAATCCTCTATTGTAACTTATCTCAGTCTGTCCTAGTCTCTCCATTATTTCTAAATCTTTTAAAGTTGTATAATTTTCCTCTATCTCTGGAACACGAGTGTCTTCAACATTTTTGTCTACTTTCATATCCTGTAGGATGGTTTTTCTTTTTGTGTGAACTTCGTCAATGGTAGATGGCACTAACAATGTAGATATTTCATTAACATTACTATTGTTTAATTCACTATTAGAAAATTTAACAGCACCACTTTTATAAGTGCCTAAATTATTTAAATTCAATTTCTTGTTATCCTTCTCTTGCGACTTTTTAAATTTCATTAGCAACCATGATGGCTGTAGCTGCTCATTAAGTTTTGGTAAATTCTCAGAATTCACAGTATTACGAACTTTCTGTCCTGCAGTTGATATTTCAGTGTGTGCTGAGCAAGGATTATGTGCTGCGCACAAAACGCACACTACGCAAACTGTGACAAAATGGTGTGACATATTGAATTACCTGTAAACTAAAAAGAAAAATTATATCTTAAACGTTTGTATATTTTGCATTTTTAAATTCACAGATCCTGTCTATATATCAATATATAACTTACACATGATTATTCATTATTATATTTAACTAATTTTATATCGCTCATTATACAGCATTTCAAAATACTTGGATATCAATGAAATAGAGGATGAGCAACTGAATATGATGTCAAATAGGAAGTAGCTATCTGTGTAACAATCCTTGTGATAATGAATCCATTTATAGCTATGAATGTTATCGAATTGCTTACTCATAAAATTATTA